AATGTACATAAATTACATTAAGTAACATTATAAAATACACTTTTTAGTGGATGACGTACGATTCTTTTTTTTGGTACTTATTTATATAGGGGAGAGTGTTGTACCTTGGCACCATTTTTATAAAAAAAATTCTAGAACCTTTAATTTTGAATATTAAATGTTCATTTTTATTACTCATATAGACAATACACATAAGTATATGGTAATTTTTTTTAAAGGCCTTATATCAATTAATTTTTAAATTAAAATTTATTTTTTAACAACACAAAAAATGGTCCAAGGTACAATATATATTGTACCTTGGTATTTGGGGTATTGTACCTTGGTTTGCATTGAAATATGCATACTTAATTTCAAAAATAATTTTATATTATGTATTTGATTAGTTATGAATGCCTAGTTATTATTTATTTCAATTATTATAGTTACAAAATATATTTATTAAAACACAATAATAAGAAAGGTAAATAAAATAAATAAACTTCAGTCTCATGTTGTCTTTACCCTTTTAATACCTCGTTTGCTTCTAGGCATAATAACTGTAGGTACTAATCTACAAGCAATTAAATAATAATTTTTAATGAAATACCAATTTATGAACAATTAATGGATGGTCCAAGGTACAATTTTTTTTTTGGTCCAAGGTACATTCGAGTTATATTTTTATTAATTGTTCTTTTGGCCATTTTGTACATTTATATTGTAACAAAAGACCACACCATTCAATTAAATACAATATTTAACGTAGATGAACACTTACCTTATTAATTTAAATGAACAAATTAAAACACAAAAAGTTGTGTTTTAAAATTCAAATATTATTTTTTTTGTGATAAGAAAATGATTTGCTGTTTATCAAAAAAATACGCGCATTTTTGTTATCAATTTCTACATTATTTATTGTAGTAGGACTAATGACGTAAATTTCTTCCATGAGATTTTGTTTTCCCCCAATATTTTATAAAATATTTACATTAGTCCAAGGTACAAGCGGTCCAAGGTACAACACTCTCCCCTACATATTATTATATACCTAGGTACCTATTTTACGGTAGGGATCGTCCTAGAACACATACACAACTACTTTATACTTATGTACATTTATATACTTTATGTATTTTATTAGTTTATTCTCAGCTTACAGCAATTTTCTATTTATATAATGGTAATCAATTGCACGAAATGTACGTACAAAGAGTTTACTTCAGTTGGTCATATGAAATTTGTTGTGGTAAAATTAGTCACTTGGATACCACGACTATTTTACCAAACGTGAAACGACTAATTACCCACAACTAATTCACTGTACCCCAAGTACAATTGCCTACACAGTACACATTCTGCATTTTAGCCATTGGTGTCCAATCAACTTCTATGCTTTCTAAATTGTGCAGTTTATATGTCCATGTTTTTTGTACAACCTTGTATTGGAAATCTGGTGACTATATTACTTAAATCATTAGAAGATATTATATTTAACAATGAATCTGCTAAATAAATTTCTCCCTTTTAATATAATATTGATAATGATTAATGGAGATTTTATATTATACCTACTGATAATCTATACTGTATAGTGTGAAAACCATTCTTTAAATAAGCTGCTGTTTAATTGTCTAGGTAGGTAGTGTAAATATAGTCTCTAAGATACATTGACAGGTAATCATAATTCATAGGATTCTGTGGAGTCTAATGAATATGCTAAGTAGGTATAATGTAAATATGCGCTTTCTTATATTATTTAATGTTATTATTAGTATATTACATAGAAATATATTCATTTTTTATCATAAAGCTGTAGGTATGTTATATAATTATTAACAAATACATATTTGAATATATGGTTATAAGGTTTACAGAGAAAATATTTATGCAGAAAATGTATAATTGATAATTTTTATTAATAATAAGCATTAAGAATTACTTATTTCCAAATTGTTTAGTTGCTTATGAATAACTATATTAAATTTCTTTTGGAAAATAAATTAATAATTAAATTGAAATGAATACTTGCTTTGATTATCTAAATCCTAATATTGGAATTCAAAAAATTAAGTCTTATAATCGAAGCAAGTGTTCATTTCAATTTAATTATTAATTTATTTTCCAAAAGAAATTTAATATAGTTAAGCATCTAAACAATTCTTAATTCGTGATTATAGTCATAATATAGATAAATAGTTGTTTTGGTTTTTAAACATAGATATAGTCTGTTCATTTTAAGAAGCGATTCAGGCGGCCACTAGTAAAACCGGTTTTCAAGCGTAAATCAGGTCGCTTCTTATTTTGAACAGGGTATAGTGTTTCGTAACTTTTGTTGTCGGCATCCTATCAAGTTGGTAGTAATATGTCCACATAATCTGTAGTAGTACCAACCTTCGGCCCATAGTCGAATGGTCAAGTTGACCTGTGTGGCTGTGACGCTGTGTGCCCGTGTACAGTAACTGTGTAGTGTATTAATCTTTTTCCTATGGCGTATTGGCGTATTGTGTTTGTGTATACAAACAACTTACTGTATAGTACTATGGTATACTAATCATACATGTACAACGTACAAGGCACAACATTAGTACATGACAAGTTACAATATCTTTTCTATAGTCACAACTACATGGGCATAGGGCACAGATTATATTTTTCATATTAGGTATAGTCTGTGAAACAAATATACAATTTTTTATAGTAGGTATAAATAATAATAATATATCGTATTAGTTCATGATAGCAATAGCCAATATTATTATAATTACTAGCTCTAAGTATAACTCGGGGCCCGTTGGAATCGCTGAGAGTGGGTACCGATTTTGGAGACAATGAATTATAAAAGTCGCAAAGGTTGTAAGACGAAAGTTTAGGATTTGTGATAAGGATTAGTGATATGGATTGGAGATAAGGCTAGACGCTTTGGCGGGAATGTTAAAAGTTTGAGTGTCTAGCAATCCGTCACAAACGTTGTAAATGGATAGGCTGGATACGATCTCCAGGATCACCTATATAGAGTATACCTGCACATAGAGTGGTATGTGCCGTAGCATGAACGGTGCTTTATCTTATGTAAAAAGTGTAAAGTCGAAAACCGTGTTGAAGTTTCTAGCAAGTCAGTCATCTCAAGTCAAAATCTATTAACTTTCAAGTTAGCCACTTAGGTAGGCAATCCGACTTCGTCGGATCGCGGACTATATGTGCTACAGCAAATCAGGTAGGCAATCCACCTGCGGTGGATTGCAGACCCGACATCAAGCGGCTATAAGTGAAAACCCTATCACACAACTTACGAAATAATTTACGAAAAATTCAAACTATATACATACAAACAAATATGATATGTATTTGTTGTGTGATATAATATAACAATGAACATTTTGAGAAATGTGCAATTATAATTCCTAAAAAATATTAACATATAGGTAGATAGTTAGATACATACTATTATATTAACCAATACATATAAACATGTACCTATAGTGTATATATATTAATTTAAAAAAAAATTGCAAAGACCTGCATGTTATTTGTTAAAGTGTCTATCAAGTCAATCATCACCGTTTAAGACGAAACTAAAATGAGCAATCCGTCTATCACCTATATATAGTAGGTATATCACATAGAGTGGTATGTGCCTTCGCATGTCCGGTGCCTTTTCTTATGTAAAAAGTGTAAAGTCAAAAACCGTGTTGGAGTGTCTAGCAAGTCAGTCATCTCAACTCTCAAGTCAAAATCAAGATTAACTTTCAAGGCAAACCGAAATAAAATACAAACTATATTTATATAACAATCATGGAAATTTTAAAAAATATGCAATTTTAATAATTCCTAATAAAACAAATATAATATGTACCTATTTATTGTGTGATATAAAATTATAATGACTTTAAATAATAATAATGTACGATATGTCCCTGTATTATTATATTATTATTTAATTTATATGAAAAATAACGTGAAAAAAAAATGCAAAAAAAGTCGGGATTCGGGCGGCCGTGTAAACCATATGGCATTAACGGTTTCAATGCCCGGACGGCGTACGACGGATTTGAACCCGGGTCCTAAGTGTTTCCTACCTAACGCCTAACCTACTCGGACACAGTTTGAGATATGAAAGACAGTGAAAACATCAACAATTAAGCCGTGCGACTACGGAGCGACGCAAACCGATATATTCGATGTACATCGATGTAATCGCATATAATTCGCTTGTAATACGCGCATCTCCCATATATATATTTAACGGGGCGTGTGAAAAGCGTTTTCCGTTAATAATTATTAAATCATAAGGAAAAATTAAATTATACACCTATATACATGTATATATACGCGTACGGCTGGTCGGTCGCCGGCGTAATTTCCAAACGCGATTGCGAGGCGAACGAACCGATTTTGGGGGAAAAGCGCATATAAACGGCTTCAAAAAGACTCGATTCGGACACAAACGGGTGCGAATAGACGAAACGGTGGGAGAAAAGGAAAAAATCGGCAAAAAAGTCCGGTCGGGAGTGTATTTATTGATCGACATTGCACGAATATAAACCGCACACCGGTGGCTTCGAATTAAGTATATAAAAGGGCGAAAAGCTAATTTTCCGAAAATCGGCGAAATGATAGGAAAAGAGGTGATAACGAAAAACGTTTTAAAACCGACCGCCGCCACTGCGAAGGTACGCGATTGGTCGCGCTATAAGGAATCGACGGGACACGGCCGGCGGGCTGGGGAAACGGAGCAGTGCTTCATTTTTTACGCCAAGGGTTCGCTATAGCCGGCGTTTTCCTTTCCATTGGACCCCAATATTATCAGTCAGCTGTTCTTCATTTTATAGTATTAGATTATTATTCCTATTGGGAGAATTAAATAACACTAGGTGCGCTGTTATCGCTTCGAAAATGGCCGCGAAAGCAGGATAAAATTATTATCAACACCGCAAGTACATCTAATTTCTAAATAACATTTATAATTTATAAAGCACTATTTTCAAAAACGAATGTGAATGTGTGCACTTTACAAAATGCGAATCAGTTTAAACGATATTTTTATGTACGCCAAGTGTACTAGCAGTTCAAGAAATTTGATAGAAGGTGAACAAGTCATCAATTCCAACCATATTGTGTTGTGTGGTAAAATTCAAATTGAAAATGTAAATTCCAAATACTTTTAACTTAATGTGAACAGTGTGATATCTTGTTTTGTTAAAATAAAATATTTTCTCTTCTGTTTAGAACGCTAACACTACAACTATAAAAAGTTTAGTTATTCAATCTTCAAATTTATCTGAAAAGCCTCACGAGATAACTGGTCAACTGTTAATGAAAGGAAATTTGATTGAAATTATTGATTTTGTATGTACATGTAAGGCTGGTGCTTCTGAATGCTGCAAACATGTAGTTGCAGTACTTTTACATCTTAACAGGTAAATTAAACATGGTGTATTATTAGTTTTAAACACCACTTATTGCCTACTAAATAATGTTAATTGATCATAATAAGTAATTACAAAAAACCAAATTGTTATTATATAAATACCACATACTTTCTTATGTAAGAAATACATTTTCTAATTACCTTGGTATCACTATATAATCACTCTCATAAAAGTTTAATTTAACAGAATTTACCTATAAAAAATATTTACTACTTACCTAATTGATTGACAATATGACCTGCAACTATTTTTAATACCTACTTAAAATTATATTTTTTTTTATGTTTGTTTTAGAAACCATATTGAAGATATTCAAACTTTATCTTCGACAGATGTTA